ACTTTATCTTAAAAGCAAACGTTATCCTGCTGAAGTGGTACTAAACGCCATACAAAGAGCTAAAGAGAAAGGCCCTGTCAGTGTTAATTTAGAAAGAGCTAACACCAAAGATGCTGATATCATACCATTTGTTACTACTTACAATCCAAATAATTGTAATATGTTTCCTGTCGTTAAACATTTTGTAAATTTTATGAAAAACAGTGAGAACATGAAGTGTATTTTTGATAAGAAGAAGATTATAAACTGTAAAAGACAACCTAAAAACTTAAAACGTTTACTATGTACATCCAAATTTGATATGAATACCACAAATGTTGTCACTGGTGTAAAAAAAATGTAAGAAACCAAGGTGTGGTACATGTAAGATTATCATTGAATGTAAAGACTACGTTTTTGCAAATGGTTCCAAAATAGAAATTAGATCAGACATTAACTGTAATTCTAAGAATGTTATTTACTCTTTAATATGTAAACAATGTGGTGAATTTTATATCGGACAGACCGGATGTGAATTGAGAATACGAATGAATGTACATAGACAACAAATGAAGGACAATGAACTAAGATTTTTAAAAGTTAGCAAACATATGCATCGATGTTCTAAAGATGATTTTCATGTGTTACCTATTTACAAACTGAATAGCGACGATGTAGTTGCAAGAGAAATTAAAGAAAATATGTTTATAAAAGTCCTCAAACCCAGCCTGAATGCACAATGATTTTTGCAATGTATTGTATGTAGATGTTTTCTTTGTCTTGGTATTGTTTGTGACGTCACTATGCTTGTTTATTTATGACGTCACTAAAATTGTTGACTATACAAATATTGATGACGTCATGTAACCAACGGTGATAAATAAACATCAATCCGCCTGAAGAAGCCCTAGAAGGCAGAAAGGCCTAGCGGACGATCTGAAAAATTTATGTTTTTATTCTATATTTTCCGTCGCAAGGACTTATTTATTTATTATCTACTATATATATATATATATTTGTAAACTACATTTCAAATACATTTTGTTGAGAAGACTGGTTTTTTTTTTCAAAAACTGTTTTCCCCAGATTTGGGACTTTTGAAAACTATTGTTTGTGACGTCACTATGCTTGTTTATTTATGACGTCACTAAAATTGTTGACTGTACAAATATTGATGACGTCATGTAACCAACGGTGATAAATAAACATCAATCCGCCTGAAGAAGCCCTATAAGGCAGAAAGGCCTAGCGGACGATCTGAAAAAATTGTTTTTATTCTATATTTTCCTTCGCAAGGACTTATTTATTTATTATCTACTATATCTATATTTATAAACTACATTTCAAATACATTTTGTTGAGAAGACTGGGTTTTTTTTTTCAAAAACTGTTTTCCCCAGATTTGGGACTTTTGAAAACAGTAGTTACCACATCAAATAACACCAAACAATACGCAAAAATCATGAGTTTTAAAATCCTTTTCCTACCATAGGAATTAAGGGATTTTATACAAATTTGGTCTGGAGCATCCTTTGGACAATGGGACTCATTTTTGTATAAACGGTGGGTTTAGTCCCCCTTGAGGCAGTGAAGCTGGGCCCAAAAGAGGGAAATAGAGACAAAACCTTTAAAATCTTCTTACTGCCGTAGGGATGCAGGGATTTTATCCTTATTTAGTCTGGAGTATCCTTGAGCCAAGGGAACTAAACGGTGGATGTGACCCCATGAGGTCAGAGAGGCGGAGCCCAATAGGAGAAATAGAGGTAATATTTTGGGCCTCTTGTTTATTCATTTCTGACTAAGGGTTTCTGACGGGGGGAAATATTAGATTTGAAAAATAGTTTTGTACAATATCCTTAAAATTCCCGTCAGAAATGCTGATCCAGAAATGCCTCATTTCATATGTACGAAGTGGATGTATCCACGCCAGACACAAACTTAAATACAATATCACGTCTACTGTAGTTTCCTTAATGAAATTTAGATAAAGTTATCGTACCCAAAACACTTGTGAGAAATGGGCCAGACAATTGACATGCATTTCAAAGAAGCACCTTTTTTTGTATTCATTTTTCCTACGTCGGCTTATTGGCTGTTGATTATGCTCACAAGGAGAGTCTAAGGTTATAAATAATTTTGAATACTTAACTTTTCTAATTAACGTGCTGTGCGGCTCCATCTGTTTGATTGCTTATCATTTTCAGAAACTTGTTTTATGAAAATTTAATCAGAACCTCCTTAGAGGCTTATATATTTTAACCACTATATGTGTAATTTTCTATGTATATACACAATACCAAAGTGTCCCTTTCTGTTCACACGCCTTCGAGCATGACCCTTATAGTATTTCGCGATCTATTATAGAACCGCGAGCCGGAAATAACAACTCGTAATACAATATAAAAACGAATGATGCCTGTTTTTGAAAAAAGGACACATATTTTTGTAATTGATACTATGTTATCAAGTATATTTAGGGTAGATATAATCATTGCTCTCAATAGCATGTTTTTCTACAACGGGGTCATTTTTTATACCGTTAATTCTAAATATTGAAAGTAAAATTTCGGCCGTTAATCGTATGAAAAATTATTGTATTTTTAACATAACAAAACATCCAAGTTTGGTAAGATTCATACATATTTAAGATGTTTACATGTGTGTAGAGAAAACAGTTTCTTCTTGTCATTTTCATGTTATTACATTTTAAACACCCCTAACTGGTGCTTTACAGGTCAAAGGAATAAAGTTACATTACGTCCTATTACTACGGATACTATGTTTAAGGAGACATGACTTTATGTACATGTAATATTATATCATTAACATTGAGAACACGCATTTGTAAAACAAAGCTTAGCATTCTATAATTAATAATGATGAAGATATCCAATTAAAAAGATACGGGATAAGTAAACGCAAAGCTAAAAACTACTTTGTTTAGTTTGATACTTAAAAATTAAAATTATTTAAACAAAAACTGCAAGTCAACATTTTATAATATATTTTACGTGATATAAAAACGAGGCGTTCACTTCCTTCATTCATCTTCAACTGAATGACTCCAATGAAACTGATACACAACTATATAGACTGTACATAGTGCGTTCCTTTACTTCAATGTAATGACGGTAACATGGTCTGGCAAGGTTTCCTTTTTGCTTAAAACAACAGGCTACCATTGCTTATGTCAAAGCCGGTTAGTGTAGAGATCTGCATCATTAGAAAGCAATATGCGTGTATATTAATTCTGTTGATAGAAGCATATAGGCCTCTTTAGAGTAATCAAAACAGTTATCAGCATATATATGAGCCTAAATGCACTTAATTAATCTAAGATGATTGTCCTAACCTTATATTGTATTTTGAAAACAAATGTTTGTAATTGAAATTGGGGAATCGCAAATTAATATTTCTTAGACTATTAGCTTCAAAGAGGGAATCCTTTCTTTATTGAAGATTAATCAAGCTAAAGATTATTTGGCACGCACAATGCTAGAGAACGTTAGATATAAGGGAAGTACTGCTATCATCAACGTTTAATGAAATACATGTACATTCATTAAAACCGTTCCGATATTCTGTTATACATGTACATATCTTACGTGTATATAGTTAGATATAATAGGTAAGCATCAGTCGTGTTCGGTCTATTCCAACAGAAGCTGCTGAGATGTCATGTCTAATTTTAGCGTAATCGCTACGACGATCTGATTGGTCGACATTTTTAGAAACATTTGTCGAGCTATATTTAGATACCTAAACAGTACATAACGCTGTGTTGTCCGGGGGGTGTAAACATTTGACGATACACCGTGACAGTCGTATCGTGGAAGAGAGTAAAGAGGTACGTGTGAAAATGGAGATTTACTATAGCTTATGATGTTAACATTGTTTCATACATTGTTTCATATATAATGTATTTATCAGGTATGACGTAAATATTATATGAATTCATTAAACATATATACTATTAGATCGTTGGTAAAAGACAGTGCATTTGATGAGTTATGATCGCTGTATCTATATTATATAAGATGACTAATTCAATGGAGGAAATGATTAAATGTTTACAATTACATGTTTTGTTCAATTTTATGCAATGCATTGTCATATTAGGTCTTTTCAGACTTATGTAATTACAGTAACTATGAGCGATCTATTCTAAATTTAGCGTATTCTTTTCGACAATCTGATTGGTCAGCGTATTTAGGTTTCATATGATTCCAACATGGTGCAGTCGTACACTGGAGGTTTGAATGCAACGTAGGTTTTTTAAGTATATGTAGCAGAACTAGAGTAAAAGAGGTCTGTTTGAAGAAGATTTCTTCTTTGCTTACATTATAACAAAGGCACTTTATCAGATGCGAACTTTTGTTTAGAGAATAATGTAAATATCAACCTAGACTTGCACAAGTTCATTTATCAAATTCGGGATTATGCTTATTTATCTTCGTTTATTTGTCATGTAATTTTACCATTATATAAAAAGAGTTTTTTTTTAAAACGGGGTTGGCAAGTCTGAACCTTTCCGATTGTAGTACAAGGATGTTGGGAAAAAAATCTGTCCATTCTTGACATATGGTCATATTTGAGATTAATTTCAACATATCGATCGCCTTTAATGGTATCTAGCGATAGAACAGTTAGATCTCACCATGTAGAGTTTCTCATTTATAATTTGATACAAGCTAACGCACGTTTTCATTCAATTAATAATGACATACACCATGTAATTAGTATATAATGAGCACTATATATACCAAGTTCTTAATTACTCTTGACTTTCTTTTATAATTGGTGTCATTGAGTGTATCAGTCACATTTTTGATGATGAATATTTGATAACATCTTGCAATTGAATGGCACGCTCTACTTATTAAGATTTGAGATTTAAAGATCTTACCAGACAATTTAATAGGGATCATATCAATGAAAACGCATCTAAAAGAATCATATCGATTGTAAATTTGACTTTGGTTTTTCTCTCATGTGTTTCTATTCCTTCTTATTAAAGAAACAATGCAAAACCTAAAGCTTGTGACGGTAGGAGATGGCGCTGTCGGGAAGAGTTGTCTGCTTATCTCATACTCCACAAATTCCTTCCCAAGTGAATACGTACCCACAGTGTTCGACAGCTACGCAGCAGACGTAATGGTGGACGGAAAACCTGTAAATTTGGCTCTTTGGGATACAGCAGGCCAGGTAGGCGAATTTTTTTTTTTGTTTCGACATATCAACAAATAATATATCAAAATTGCACATTCTTTTATAAATCTATCAGCAGGATATACCAAAAACAAAGTTTGATTTTCATTCATGAAAGGTGACTTAGATACGCTTCCAAAAGGTGTACTACAATATATTTTATTACTAGGGTTCAATATCAACTTTGCGAATGTCACTTTCCCCCCTTACTCTACTTTTCTAATCTTTTATTGTATCTTAAACGTTATTTCTTTGTTATATTTTCAGGAGGACTATGACCGTCTACGGCCCTTATCCTATCCAGCAACAGACGTCTTCTTCTTGTGTTTTTCCATAGAATCCCGTGCGTCCTTCGAAAATGTGCCAACAAAATGGATACCAGAAATCAGACACTATTGTCCTGACACACCTATCGTAATGGTTGCCTGTAAAATAGATTTACGCCACACAAGTTCACGAGACCTGGTGACGTATGAAGAGGGGGCAAAAGTTGCCAAGGATTGCGGCATGCGCTACAAAGAAACAAGTGCGTTAACGCAGGAAGGTTTAAAGGATTGTTTCGATACGGCGGTAGGTTGGATAAATAGAACTTACTATTCAATAATCGAGTATGTTTAACGTTTCGTTTTGCATAGCATTATCATACCTTTAATTATGAATGGTTTTCTTTCCAGCTTCTAAAACATCATTGGTTGAATAGTTCTCATCATTATAGTATAAAAGTGAAACGGTATTATAAGGCATTACAAAACAATTAACGTGTGACATCATAATAGTGCTACGGCAACAGACTGATGTAGTATTGACTGTTGACTATACACTTGATATTATCAGGCTTGGTATAGTGAAAAATATAAATTAGCGTTTTGCACCCAATTAATATTGGAAGAGATAATCATTTTTAATACTTTTGGAAACTTTTGGAAAATCATCAATGATTAAATGATTAAAAAACAAACAAAAACATGTTTAAAAAAATGAAATGTGTTCCTGGTTCAGACATACTCATTATTATAAATAGAATAATAAACATTTTCTCTGTAATTCATGTAATCTCTATATTATCTTTTGTCATTGACAAATATAGTCTAACAGTATTTGCACCTCAAAAAATATTCTTGTTGATCATATCATGTGCAATCAAGGCATTAAAGCCTTAATATTATGAAAATAGTTCGTTACTGCAATTGCAATACATTTTTAGTTAATACTTTTGTAAAGTGCCTATCAATGTGTTTCTAATAAATATCTAATGACTAAAACCATTTATATTGTTGCTATATTAAATGATATTAAAACGAATTTGGTTATGTACCTGTGGAAATCGTATACAAAACAAACACCGACTTTAATGATATAATATTGTGTTGTAGATCCGGGAGGCGTTGTGTACAACAAAAAAGAAAACGAAAAAATTTGGATTTTCCTTCGGTGGTAAAAAACGAGTTCCCCTTCCACCAGATATGCCTCCCGCCGGTAAGTCTACACAGGACTGAAATCTCCATAACTTTTATGCGTAAATGTTTATACGAAACAGAATATAATTGATAGATCGGACAGTTAAAAGTTACTATCCAGAACGTAGACTAAGACAATGGCAGGCACAGTTATACACATTTTGTTTTTATGCATGCGTTTTTATTAATATTTCGAATATTTACTGCAAATAACGGGAAAGATAGATCCTCGTGAAAAGTGTCTTTATCATAGGTTTATGTCAATTTGGAAGTATTGTTTTTGTATTAGTTTACAGTCAAGACATATTTGTATTTATTACATTATTGATATTTATTTATATAGGCAAGGCCCCTTGGATTGAAATTGAAACATCAAGATTTGCTGAGGATTGGATGGCGATGCACGAAAGTCCTGTGCATGCCGATGTGACATTCGTACTGAGTGGACAACACAACCTGGACGGACATAAAATAGTTCTTTGTTCAGCCTCCAAATACTTCAGACGAGTCTTCGGGATGATGTCTTCAAATAAGGTAATATACAATTCGATTTTTAATCACAAAAACAGCCTCTAACATTACATTGCGTAATAAAAGGTCTTCAGTCATATTATCATACAACAGGTTTTCATACGGCATCAATTCATGTTTGTTATGAAGATGATCACGAAAGTCGTGAGTGCTTTGCATGCCCTTTTTAAGCGAATAATGTCGTTAAAGTTGATTGATTCTCAACATTAAAAACTATTATCCCGTACACAAACCTCAGTGACATATCAAAGAATGGTTATATCAATAATTGTCCTTTTTGACCTAGATAATGCACGTGCAAATTATATGTAAATAGTATAAATGGACTACATTGAAACAAACTATGTTTGTTTGGAACCAACTAGAACATCACATTCTAAAACATATATTTGTAGAGCGCTCAGCTGAAGCAGATCGAGGCCTTAAGTAACTTCACTCTTGAAGATCTCAATGCCGGACTTGTCCAAGGAATAGCAGCGGTTTATGACAAGGACACTAGTACAGAGGATAATAAGGGTCAAAACCATCATCATACAATGGTGGAGCTGAGTGCCGATATCAAACCAAAGACATTTGTCAGGGTCCTGGAATTTCTCTATTCTGGTATGAAGCATTCTGATCTATTTGCAAAATAAATACAAATACGAGAAAATTTGATCTTAAATCCCGACGGGAAAGATGGATAAATACCCAATAAAATACACACCATCATGTCCTCCATGACACACATTAAACAACAAAATACGGCTTTGTCTGTATATCTGTAGCATCTACATATTCAATTGGGCCTGACAAAAACTTAACTGTTGGCGGTGCAATGTATATAATCTACTTTTAAAGAATCAGTAGAGTAGTGGGTGAATTACACGCCTATATTACTTGTTTTCCTAGGTGTACCTAGATTGACCAATGATGAGGACGAGATAGACCAGGACGAACTCGCTGACGTCATGAGGGTAGCGGACATTTTCAAATTGCCGAGACTGACAGAAATTTGTCAAAATTGTCTCAGCGAACAGGAATTCCTAAATCCAAGTATAGGTACATTCCTGAATGATGAGACAGGACAAAAGATGAAGGAACTATACTTCAACAATCCCGAGATGGCTGACGTTGCGTTCAGAGTGGAAGGTAAGGATTGCTGACTACAAACGATACAACGTAACGAGAAAGCTATTGTACAACAATGATCAACACACAGAAATACTATCATAGCTCATTTCATATTAAAGGTAGTTGGTTTTGACCCTCCTATGTCGTTTAAATACAAAATACATAATTCAGTACAAAGTATATGAAATGTTATGTTGCTGCGATGTCATCTAAGTTATCATCTTGGTTATTTTTACATGTACCATTATTGCATTGCATTGCATTTAAATAAACTTATTCAATCTATCTATTTCAGGTAGAACAATATACGCCCATAAAGTTGTTCTGAGTGCAAGATGTAAAGTTATGGCCGCCATGTTTGGAGGTCATTTCGTAGAAGGCCAGGCAACGTTATCTGAGGTAGGTTTAAAATTCCAATAGTAAGTAAATTCTTATGGCTGAAATGCAATCTTCTTTTGATTATCTGTAGTAACACATGTGCATACAAGGTATGATGATGTTACTAGAACTCCTCTCATTACCTGAAGGTCTATTATATTCACAACGCCCCTTGCATCTCCGATCAGTCCTAAAAGGACGAAACAGCTCCATGATGCAATGAAATTCATTTTTGGCATACTGTATCTATTAGCGAATGTTTAAGATGAAATATCGTGTGTGTGTGTGTGTGCGTATATTACTTTCATTCTCCAAGTGGAGTAAGGTTTTATTCGTTTGATACCACAGGTGGATATTCCGGCTACCTCCGCGGAGTGTTTCTTGGCTCTGTTGGAATACCTCTACACCGACCATTCACCCATTGAAGAGATCGATGTGGTGGGACTCGTTGTTCTCTCAGATGAGTATGGACAAAAACGACTGATCAATCTGTGTGAACTATATGTTACAAAGGAAGTCGACAAGAGTGTGACAAAAAATATAGAGAAAGCAGATATCGACGTCATCGGACTTTTGCACACGTCACAGGTAAGAATATTTATTTGTATTTCCATGTTAGCATGACCAAACCCATTTTTGCAAAGGAACAATTGGGTCTTGTACACCATGTATGGTGAAATAAGCCTTTCAAACACTTAGTTTTCCATTGCTATTCTATGCATGGAATAGAAAATCCTTACAAATTAAGACTAAATTATGAATATCGATATTCTTATATTTGTTCTATGAATCAGTTCAAATATAATGTGTAGATATTGATAAATGTGTAATTAAATGTTGTTTTATATTGCAGAATTACAACGCAGAACAGCTGTCCTGTTGGTGTTTGCATTTCATCTCCACAAACTACACGGCGTTCCAAAACCGGGCAGAATTCTCGTTATTAAAGGGAGATAACAAAACATATATTGAGGAGAATCAGTGGCCTCCAGTATCGTACCTCCGTGAGGTGGAGGAGTACGAGAAAAAATGGAATCCAAAGGGAGACAAATGTTCAATCATGTAAGCGTGTATCTACCTGTGAAGTANTCAGTGGCCTCCAGTATCGTACCTCCGTGAGGTGGAGGAGTACGAGCAAAAATGGAATCCAAAGGGAGACAAATGTTCAATCATGTAAGCGTGTATCTACCTGTGAAGTGTACGAACGAATGGTTGTGAAAAACAATGGGTTTACAAAGTTTTTGTTATAAATACTCATTGAATATTGATATCACATATTGTTGTTGTAACAAGAAAACACTTGTTTGCCAATAATCCAATCGACCTGAAGAGGAAGGAACATTGCGACAAAATTACTTTAGTTTGGTATTACTTGCATTACTAGTATACAATATTATCGATGTTCATGAATGTCAAAATGTGTTTTTATCGTCTATGTAAGTATGCAAGCTATAGTGAATTAAAGTATTAAAACGCAATGAAAAAAAAAAAAGTTTAATACATAAATAAATAAAGAATGAATGAAAAATAAGTGGAAAATAAAATGTATGAATGACTGAATATTGATTGATTGAATGAATGAATGAATAAACGGATGAATGTACGGATGAAATGAATGATGTAGAATTGATACACGTATAATGGGATGAATAAATGAATGAAACATTGAGTGATTAATAGTATATCATCAGCTATCATGGTCATCATTGTTATGCATATAAAATGCGATATCGCTATCTATAAAAGTGTGTTTGTTGTTCTAAATGGAAAGAAAAAATACTGAATTATAGAACGAATCGATATAAAAGTTTACAAAGGCAAACGTGTTTAACTATTTTAAACATGCTTCGCTAAAATGTATTAAAACATACTAATAAAACTCTTTTAAATACACGTGTTACTATGTTTTGGTTATTTGGATATACTTAACCCAACGACTTGACCTACCCAAAGTGTAAGGTGTTATACATAAAAGGAACTATTCATCGACGGTTTGACGCGTTTTCCATAAATGAATCCAATGCCTCGTGTGCGGACAATATAAAAGTGAACCCAAAATCAATGGTCTGACGCGTTTTTAATAAATGTAACTATCCTCCAAAGTTTTGCAATGTTCTACGTTTGCATAAGTCTTCACCAATTGTCTGACTGTTTTGAATAAAACAAAGTATCAAACAATGGTCTAACGCGTTTTTCCATAAATATGACTAACCACCAATAGTCTGACGACCTTTACATAAATATAACTTCCCACCAATAGTCTGACGAGCTTTACATAAATATAACTACCCACCAATAGTCTGACGAGCTTTACATAAATATAACTTCCCACCAATAGTCTGACGAGCTTAACATTAATCTAACTATCCAACAAAAGTCTTACATGTTCTTTCATAAAGGTAACTATCCCGAATAGTCTTATTTGTTTTGTGTAAAAGTAACTCGCCACAAACGTTTTGCCGTGCTTCACATAAAAGCAACTGTCGTTACGTCGTGGTTTTAAACTGATTATTGTTAACATATTAGTTAATAGGTTTTACGACCGTAATCATTCGTCTGCTTATAATTCATTCTTTCTATAGAAGACCTTGACTATCTTAATTTTCTCAACGAAAAATACACTTGTCCAGAACACCAGAACAGGCTCTGAATGTCATTGCTTTCAATTTCGATCGTAGAAAAAACATCAAAAGAAACGACTGATGTTATACTAATGCCGAACGAACGCAAACGAAAGTAAAATTAAATTTTTCATTTTGTCATATATGAGGTGGTTAATATTGCCTTAATGGAGGTGTAAATAAGAAAGGATTGTGATTGTACAGAAAGTAGAGAAGTCAACATGTTTAACTGATATTTTCTTTGCATATTATTCTTTTCAATTTGTAGGAAGCCCACAACATTTACATTTCCCTAGACAAATCTGTTTGACGTTATTCTAGCGTTAGAAATAATGCGGAAATGCGTAATTATAGTAAAGCAACAAAGAAATAATGAAGTATTGCGTTATCATTTAAAAACAACAATATTTGTTTTTTTCTTTATACAACATTATTGACTTTATTTTTTATTATTATTATTATTATTATTTTTTATGCTTGACCTTTCAAATAAAACTTCTTTTCATTAATTTTAAAAACTATTTAATATTTTTATAAGAAAAACTACCGAAAAAAATATCTTTTCATCAACCCCCCGAAAATGACCAAAGAAGGTTACGCAAGGTACATGTTTCTTTTCAGAAATGTTTTTTTACATCTATGGTCAATTTCACTTAAAATTCCAATGAATATAAGCACAGATTTTGTTCATGGTGCAGCATCCATAGAGGAAAATCTACATTTCATTGATGCTGGGTCATGAGTAAATACTACCATAACACGTTTGATATCTGTATATTACTGAAGTCCATATAGAGGTAAATCACCTAATATGTTTTAATCTGTGCTTCCCAAACGTTAGCGTCGCCTGAGTTTTTACTGTTGCATCGGTGATTACATTGTATGTGCTTGGAACGCTAAAATCTATCAAAGGAAATATGCTGCAGGATTCATGAAATACATGTGCTAGAGTCAATGAAATCGACTTTTGACGTTTGATGCAATTAATTGAACTTAGGGACGTTTTGTGTTGTTTATCATCGATACTACTTCGCAAACATAATACTTTAAATCTACTACTAATAAATGCTTTAAGAAAAAGATCATTTTAAGTTCCCGGAAATGGCATTAATAAATATTTTTATAACAATAATCATACAACAGAAAAGCTTACTTTACTTTTGAAGCTTTATGCATTATACTTATATCCCATCACATTACACAGTAATTTTATCATTTTGGTTACAAATGAAAACGTTGCGTTTTGACTGACCAGGGCTATTTCAAATAGGCTTCTGTCCTTCGGAATTCAAGACATTGTTAACTTTCAAAACAATCCAATCCAACTAAATGTAAGCTATCTTTTGAAAGATGAAAGAATCATCACTTTTGCTGATGTTTGTTGACTTTTCTAAGAATCATCACGTTTGCTGATGTTTGTTGACTTTTCGTTGCTCCGTATAAAAGTATTTTGCTGTATTGTGCTCCTGTATTTTTTCATAGGTTATGCATAGTCGTCAATTGTTACAGGGCATGACTAATGTCGGTATCATTACTGCAACGATATGATTGGTTAATAAATATAGAAGAAGCTGCCTGGGATATATTTAGATTTTAACTCTCGAGTCGTACAGGAAATATCATAGCTAACGATAACGTAGCAATAATATTAGTACTAGAAGTATCCCTGTGTACATTTGCCTAAACATCGGAGAAGTTCATGGGGTAGGAAATCGGACGGAAGGCAGGTAAGTCTTCCTGAGCCATTCCTGAAGATGTGAACACTGTAGATGATAATGTATGCATCATATGTTGTCATACGTACACTTGCACAAGCCAGGTGTGTTATAAATATGCGTTTTATTGATTATCCTCTGAGTATATAACAATATCAAAAGCACGGTTTTGAACACTTGTCCCATTATTAATCCAGTGGTTTAAGATACATGTTCTTATCGAAAATGTCCACCTGTTTTCCATTAGGGTCACTTTTGATCGTAGATAGAGATGTATAACAAAGGACACCATAGCTATAAGGTCGGTGTATATGCGTGTTATGTTTCTTACACAGTGAGCATATATACACTGACCATTAGGACAGGCAGAGACACATAAAGCCACTATATACGTCTCTGGGACAAGGATATCTGTCTTGCCTCTGTAATTTTGATGGAAACAACAGCAGCTTGATTATTGGGGATTCACTATATCTATCACACTTTCTAATACACTTGTTGGTCCTCGATTGCTGTTTACTATTTCATGTTTGTCTATTTATATGTTATCAAACAGGTACCATGCCGAACATAAAGCTAGTCACGGTGGGAGATCACGCCACAGGGAAGACTTGTCTGCTCATCGCCTATACAACACATAAGTATCCCGGTATATACATACCAACGATCTTTGACAACTACAGCGCACCTGTTATGGTGGGCGGAGTATCAGTCAATGTGGACTTGTTTGACACACGGGGATTTTTTGTAAGCTGAACACTTTTTCTTCATTTTAATCGTCAAATCAAGTTTGATGTATGAAAGCTGAAAATGTTCACATTAACGATGGCCGTAGATGATTTTGAAATTACTAATAAGCGTCCGACAGTTTTGGCCCGTATACGTGTGATTAGCTCCATTTTTTTTTATAATATGTGTTTAGTGTATTATTATCTTTAAGTGCGGTATATGTAATGTTCTACTTGATAGGATAGATCTGTTAAAAGTATTTAATTGTGAAAGTTTAATTGGCAATCCATGCATGCTGAGATGAGAAGGGACTATAAGGTATTTAATATACCAACTTCCTTCATTTTAACCACAACAAACTGAGACTGAAGCCAATCAGTAATGAAATACCACTATCTCAATCAATTGATTTTTGATTTTCGATTTCATCTTGTCTCTCTTACTTGTTTTAATTGTAATTTTTTCAGACTGAAGAATATGAGCGTCTACGACCGTTATCCTACATATATCCAATGACGGACGTATTCCTCGTGTGTTTTTCTATAGAAAACCGGGAATCTCTGGCAAATGTGACAGTAAAATGGATTCCAGAAATTCGGCGATTTTGTCCTAATAAGCCAATCGTTCTCGTTGCCTGTCAAATAGGTAAACAAATTTGTTTTCACCTTACAGCTTTCATCACTGTTTAGTCCACGCTTTGACATAACTTCTGTTTTGTCGAAATGACTTTGTATGATTCTGATATATGAAGTTAATATCGATTATTTGCACCATGCTGATCAATTATTGTCTTCTTTATATATATATTGTTAGAATAGATTAATTTGCTAGAGGTACCTACTTATTATGACATTTAAAGTTATTACTACTTGTGAAACTACCATGACTACTTTGTATGTATTATTTGCCATCAGAAACCTTAAATATGTGTTATATTAACGTAAAATAAGGAAAATTCTCGTAATTATTTAGTAAATATTGTGAGTTAATACGTTTTTAAAAGTTGTTATAAAACAATTTTTGGAGTAATCGTTGCTAAATTTATAGATTTACGACATAAATGTTCTGATCTTGTGACGTACGAGGAAGGGTCACATGCAGTTCGCCAGTGATCTAGGATTGCCTTACATAGAAACCAGTGCGCTTACCCAACAGGGTGTAAAGGATGGGTTTGACACAGCGGTAGGTTTGGTTCTCCCTGTAGTGCTGCAGAGNCCTTGTAGTGCTGCAGATAATATATTTATCGTATAACTGTTTCGCTTTGTTATTATCAAGTGTCCTCAACATATATACTGAAACAGGTTTCCTTGAAATTTGCCCCTCCTGACTTTGGAAGGAATGAGATCAATTTTCATATTGTTTTAAAATAAATCATTTAATTTCATAAAAGTAATTGCAGGAGAGTTCAAATACGTATGGACCGATCTTATAATTAATTTACTGCGCATTTCTTATATTTTGCAAATATTTATTCCGACAAATAACTGCAAAAGGGACATAAATCATTTCATTCGTCGTTAAGCAAATAAAAAAGAATTGAACTATGAACTAATTTTAAATATCTATGAAAGGGCGATCAGCTCCTTTTGTGTTACATAGTGCTATGCAATGCCACTATCAGTCTAAATACAAATACAGTGCAACATTCACGTGACTTATAACACTTTGGTAGGCTATGCTAATGATGGGTGATTTAAACATTAATTACAATAACAAGATGTACCTGATTTAGATAATGTATTAGAAACAAATAAATATGTACTGTTATCTTACATGTAATGGCATGCTTGATCAATATATAAAACTGTATATAGTAGCATTAATGCTTGCTATTTTTACGGAACTTCTTCTTTTTTCCGAATTCCCTCCTCCATCAACTATTCCCGTGGGAGTTATTTCCCCTACCATACTTGTATGCTATTATTTGGCAAAATAAAATAGTTATTTTTTCCTGTTTTCCTAGAGCAATTAAAAATTATATTTTTAAACGAGGTAGACTATATTATTTTCAAAACAGTTATTCTCACGTACAGCGATGTTCATTTTAAGAGGATTTAATTTGGATGGTTCCAGCAATAGAACGATGAACGTTGGTAAATATTTAATACAATTCAATAAAAGCGTCTCTGCGGTAGCTCATGAATCGTGCAAGTCATTTCCCGTCGTTCAGAATAAAGTTTTGACCCTATATCAACTTGAATTGTTAGATACTATATTAATGTAGATGTTTAATGCTAATATGTGGGTATTCTCCCTACAAAGACCACATAACATCCTGTTTTAGATCCGTGAAGCGCTGATCTCAGCATCAAAGAAAACGGAAATGCTTAAAATCCGGTCATCTTGCTGTAGGAAAAAACAAATTCCTTTTCCACCATTGATGCCCCCTTCCGGTAAGTTAATATTAGCCATTTATCATCAATTAATTAATCAATGGAGCAATCATTTGAACTGGTAAATTATTCATTTAAATCCATGAAGGCGATGTTTTAGTAAATGAATGCGTTATTCAAAGTCATGGACAAGTCATTTAAATTCTTGGATAAATCCTTTCTTACAAATACCTTTGTTATATTTCTATTGGTTTTCGTTGACAGTCAAGACCCCATTTATTGAAGTTGAACCATCAAGCTTTGCAGATGATTGGATGTTGATGCACGAAAACCCTGTACATGCTGATGTGACATTCGTATTGAATGGCCAACACAACCTGGACGCACATAAAATAGTTCTGTGTTCAGCCTGCAAATATTTCAGAACGGTTTTTGGAAAGATGTCACATAAGGTAACTTGACCATAATAACTGGAATATTTCCACCTCTGAACTATTTCGTCGACATACCATGTTTATTTCACAGATTATATTCCCATTTATTCCCTAACTGCGATTTTTCTGAGAAGATTTAAAAAGGACTTCAGCCACCCATGCGTGTGTATCCATGAACATGATCCCAAATATCGTAACGGTATTGTAATAATTCTCAACTCTTCAGATGAAAACGCCAGAGTCATTGAGTAACTTCGCCGTGCAGGATCTCAACCCAGAACTTGTTCAGGGGATTGTAGCTGTTTATGATAAGGAAAATGGTACGGAAGAGATCGTGGGTCATTGTCACACAATGGTAGAACTCAGCGCCGATATCGAGCCAAGAACATTTGTCAGAGTCCTGCAATTTCTCTATGCTGGTATGTATTATTCATATGTATATCATAGTTATTGTTTGTAATCCTTCATTTAAAACTGTACCATATTACAAATGTATACGGCAAAAACCAACAGGGATTGTTGGCTAGTAAATAAAACGTGAATGTTTGTTTTTTGGATCTCGAGTTATCAAAATATTACTATTCGACAAATAATATAATATTGTCAAATCAATTCCGAATACCAAATCAGAACAAAACATTTTTTACTAATATGTATTGCTTCGCCAGGAGTACCAAAACTGACCAAAGACCACGACACGATTGACCAGGATGAACTCGCTGACGTCATGAGGGTAGCCGACATATTCGCTATACCAGAACTTACAGAAATGTGTCAAAATTGCCTTTCCGAAGAAGAATTTCTAAATCCAAGTATAGGAACTTACTTCAATAACGAGACAAAACAGACGATGAAGGAACTCTATTTCAATAACCCTGAGATGGCTGATGTAGCGTTCAATGTGGAAGGTAGGCTTTGGTGACTTAAACGGTATTCAAACCTCCAGCTCCATACCTGTATAACTGATACATAACGGTAGAGAGTATATACTAACAAGTTATACACTATCACACTCAAAACTGATTGAAGACGTATCTGGTAAGTATAGGAAATATGTACTGTCACATCGCTTTGTATAGTTGAAATCAAAAGAACCCTTGTGTGATGATTTGGTAATTTCCTAATTCAACCCATTCATTTATGTTTACAGTCATATATATATATTATATTTACATGTGATTTTTGTTCTCGATATTAACTCATATATGCTCTTTAATGAATTTGACTTGCTAACATGGATATTTGATAATACTTCATCTCATCAACAGTTATGAATTTACGTTATTTAATTAGTATATATATAGCTTATATAGTGTGGATTTAAATCACCAATGCCAATGGTCTCTCAAAAACCTTTGCTGAAATTGTTTTGTCAATGACAGTAATTCAACAAAAGCAGCGGGTATCTGCATGTTGTAGTACATTGCGTCCACATATTCAGGCTTCATTTGTCCCTCACTAGCACATCTCAAGATTGTGGAGTCTAAATAATTAGTTACACTTTTTTGTACGCGAGTCATTTCAACCTGTACGTCAAAAAAAGTATGGTCGTACTCAAAACATTTAAAAAAATTGTCTACAAAGAATGAATAAACATATCTAAAATTACAAACTGTTTCAATGAATTGAATATATAATTATTCCAGGAAGAAAGATTTACGCTCATAAATGTGTCTTGAGTGCAAGGTGTGAAATCATGTCGGCCATGTTCCGAGGTCACTTCGTAGAAGGTCAAACAACCATATCTGAGGTGGGTATGACGTGACTAAGGTAGGTAATGACGTCATGCTGCTATCTGTTTGTATTTAATTGGATTGCAATCATCCATAACCACATTTGGCTCAATCTCTACCCAGAGTTGTCGTTCGTTATTCTCACCCTGAGTGTAAGGAAAGACGACTCTGGATATCTATTACATTTGGCTGTGAATGCAGGTTATGTATAATAATGGTTTCAAATAACGTTAATCTAGTCCCATTCTTAACAGGTGAATATTCCGGACACTTCGGCGGAGTGTTTCCTGGCTCTATTGGAATACCTCTACACCGACCATTCACCTATTGAAGAGATCGAGGTGATGGAACTGCTTGTTCTCGCAGATAAATACGGACAAAAACGTCTCATGAATTTGTGTGAATTGTATATAGGCAAAGAAATAGACAAGAGTGTGGCAAAGAACATAGAGAAAGCAGAAATTGACGTCATCGGACTTTTACACACGTCACAGGTAAATAAATTTTCAACGGGAAAAAAGAGTATGTGTAGCATAATATGATTTTAACATGGGAGAAGTATATTTGACATTGTGGCATTGGGATTGTCACAAACTGTCTATCGTTGTCAGTTCTAATCGCATAACTCAGTGAATAATGCAATATTTTCCCTCCAAAACACTTGGTTCACTTGTGACGTCATGATTGGGTTAAGACGTCATGAATTTTAACATGTCGCCATTGAACAATAAGTATGGGCTCCACAAATGCAATTAATTTTCAATCAGTAAAATGTATATAATTGCATAAAGACATGAACAATGCCGATTTCACATGCAATGGAAAACTATTCTGCATACAAAATGAAAGACCACATGTGATTCATTATCTTTAATAAGTCGAATTTTGATAAAAACTTAATGAAGCTTTTTCGTGACTGTTTACAGAATTACAATGCAGAACAATTGTCCACGTGGTGTCTTCATTTCATCGCCACACACTACACGTCATTTCAAAAAAGGAAGGAATTCTCGTCACTGAAGGGAAAAAACAAAATACATATTGAGGAGAATCAGTGGCCACCAGTGTCGTACCACCATGAAGTGGAAGAGTACGAGAAAAGGTGGAAGTCAAAGGGAGACAAATGTTCATTCAAATGTTCCATCATATAAATTGGTTTTATTTGTGTCTTATTTGCAATAAGTGTACTTATTTTACCTGTTCTGGGTTTTAAACAGCGATACAGGCTTCTACTACTTCTACTACGTCTACTACTACTTCTACTACCACTACCACCCTCACTACTTCTACTACGTCTACTACTACTTCTTCTACTACTACTACTACAACTACTACTCTACTACTACTACTACTACTACTACTACTACTACTACTACTACTACTACTACCACTACCACTACTACTACTACTACTACTACTACTATAACTACTACTACTACTACAACTACTACTCTACTACTACTACTACTGCTACTACAACTACTACTCTACTACTACTACTACTACTACTACAACTACTACTACTCCTACTACTACTACTACTACTACTACTACTACTACCTACTACTACTACTACTACTACTACAACTACTACTACTACTACTACTATACTACTACTACTACTACTACTACTACTACTACAACAACAACTACTACTACCAGCACTACTGCTGTTGCTGCTGATCTTGCTTTGGTATCGCTACTAAGACATATTATGAAAGTTTTTTCTTCGATATTTCAATAACGCCNTTAGGTGTTTCACCACTTCACCATTTTTAAAGGTCGACAAACGTTTTAGAAAAGTTTTCACTGGGATGAACCAGGTGCGCATACATTCGGCGCATNCTACTACTACTACTACTACAACTACAACTACTACTACTACTACTACTACTACTACTACTACTACTATACTACTACTACAACTACTACTACTACTACTACTACATGACACTCGGTATAATAAAATAAAAATCACATGTGATATTTATATACTACCACTACCACCTACACTACTTCTACTACGTCTGCTACGGCTGCTACTACTACAACTACTACTACTTAGTAGTACTATACTACTACTACTACTACTACTACTACTACTACTACTACTACTACTACAACTACTACAACTACTACTACTACTACAACTACAACTACTACTACTACTACAACTACAACTACTACTACTACAACTACTACTACTACTACAACTACTACTACTACTACAACTACAACTACTACTACTATAACTACTACTACTACTACAACTCCTACTACTACTACAACTACAACTACTACTACTATAACTACTACTACTACTACAACTCCTACTACTACTACAACTACTACAACTACTACTACTACTACTACTACTACTACTACTACTACTACTACTACTATTACAACTACTACTACTACTACTACTACTACTACTACTACTACCACTACTACTACTACTACTACTACAACTACTACTACTACTACCACCACTACTACTACTACTACTACTACTACTACTACTACAACTACTACTACTACTACAACTACTACTACCACCTCTTCTACCACCACTTCTACAGCACTGCTGCTGCTGTTGAGATCTTGCTTTGGTATCGCTGCTAAGACATATTATGAAAGGTTTTTCTTCGATATTTCAATAACGCANTGACATAAGTATAGTGATGTTCTTATATATAATCGATTAACTGTCTTGCCTGGTATGACATTTTATGGTGCAAGTGGACAGGATATATCTGGTTAGAAGAAGGAGGCTGCTTTAATAAAAGATGAATAAAGAAATAAAAAGGAATGATATTTGAATCATTGTTTGTCAGTTTTAGACAAAATACACGTGGGTGTAGTAAGGTATGAGAACTAATGGTTTACTATAGAGAAGTCAAAACATTTCACTAATATCCTTTTTTCTATCAAGATTTTGGTTCAAGATGAACAACTGCATCAACAGTTCGATATACATTTCGGTAGATTGACCATTTTGGCTTATGAGGGTTTAACGTCTTAGCAATATAGTTGACGACAGTTCATAAATATCCTCATATGATGGTCATTATAAATGTCCTTTCACTGGAGTTTCACAACACAGCTAAGACACGGTAGCATGATAACCTCACTTAGTTCTGTTATCCAAACAACGAGCTAAACAGCTTAAATGCCTGGAGAGACGACACATAAAGAACCATGTAAGTATGAAGGGAAAAGAAAAGATGGAGGCCCCTTGTTCGATTAAAGAAGCAGCAGCATCAGATCAATTAAGTTCTCCTACGGGTAACCAAGATAGGTTACCAACAAAAGAAAATAACTGATTCTACACGGGTCCTACAGAAGTGCCCCCTAAGATCGTGCATTGTGATACAATAGGTCAATTCTTTGATTAGTCAATATAAGATAGTTTCAATATGCATTCTTAGAATTATCAAATCTTTCCAAACAGTTTACTTTAGACATCCAGCACTGGTAAAAATCGGGATCTGTACTCCCTAGAGACAACATATAAAAGGTCAAATAGAAACAGATTCCTACCTACATGTACATAACCTAACTGTGTTAATTGTAAAGCCCTTTATAGACACAATATAATTTAAAATGTTCGGGTGAGTTTCCCTCCATACTGCTGAGATGTGATGTACAAATACATTAAGAGCTTTGCGACTCTATTCTGACATTTGAGCTGCAAAATCACAAAAATGAAGGAGATCCATTCTTTGAAATAGTTTTCTTTAGTGGCACTTTGTCTGACTTGAACATAAAACAAACCCTATGAGAGCTTAGAAGCCTGGTGGTGATGTCATAAGTATCAGAATACATTAGGAGATCACAGTGATTACTTCATTACGTTACTTGAATCTTTGGAGGAAATAATCGGGAGGACAACCTGTGAAAAGATCAAACCGTACGTACGTACGGGTGAGTCAATATATAGCAGTGGCACGTGCATATTTAGCTATTAGTTAAACATCAAAAGCAAAATCACAGAAACAACGCTTGCCACTCATAAAGTCGTACGCAACTAATGAAATGTAACACTATCAATGACTATTCAAACAGTAAGATCATTAATACAACATAAGAATTACTGTTCACGTTTAATTTTGCATTATGCATTATTAATCAACACAATATGTGAAGGAAAAAATAATTACGAAATGAAAGTGTTACGTGTTTGAATGTTCAGAGTTAGGTTTAGTCAAACATGGCTTTATAATGCATACTGATCTTGTAGCTTTAATATAATATATCATTCTTTGTATAATAAGCTATTTATCCTAGCATCTTATTTTTGAATATAAGTCGCGGTGAAATTTAATATTTTTATTACTGAAATTTGACTAAAGGTTGCCTGTATCAGAGCGTATTGTGATAATTATCACAATTTAATTTCCTGTAGATCATATGTCTTTAAACAAAATCAGAGCACCTCATTTGGTGTGTTTTTCTCGAAGTAGCAAACAACAAGAACTCGCAGTGCAATGTGTAAACCACGAAATTATATCTGACGTCAACATAAATGCTGCAGCGATCTGATTGGCCAACAAATATAGAAGAAGCTGTCTGAGCTATTTTTTGATCTAATAATAACAATAGATAATGCTGAGACGAACAGGGAGTATCGCTGTGTTCATCTGACGAAACATCGGGGAGATATGTCATAGGAAACTGAAAGGTAGGTAAGAGATGAATGTAATCTCTAGATCTAATGATAAGTCAGTATGGCTCGTGTCAACGCAGTGTATGATATAAGAGATATGTGTACACTATGGCGTACGTTTAACATGAACTTGCTAATGTCCATTATTATCAAAAGTTTGTCATTTTAATTATTCGCTATGGTCTATCATGGTATAACAGATGTTTTACACATATTTTTTTCTGAAATTTATGCTGTGCTTTTTTTTATGTAAATTGCCTTATGTTTAATTTTTCAAACCTTCTCAAGTAGATGTATTAAGAGCTGGTCCTCAATTTATATCGATGTGCAATATTTGATTTTGTATATATATGAAACTCGATATTCCAGTCACAATCGATTTGGTTGTCCCGCTAAACATTGATTTTTATGAGAAGTTTAGTCTTTTTCAGTACAATTTAGACTAATTGACCCAACCATATTTTATAAGAATTCAATTGATTAAGCTGCTGTATACGTTATTGTGGCTCGTCTGTTAATAAAATATGGTTATGTGTATTATCATACTGTTATTGAAAATGCCCTCGTTTATCATGATAAGGTATTTGGTCATTATCGTTTTGTCTGTTTTTGTTATAGGTACAACGCCTGAATTAAAGCTTGTCTCGGTGTGAGATTATGCAGTTGGGAAGACCTGTCTGTTGATCGCATACGCAATGAATACTTTCCCCACTGAATATGTACCCACAGTGTTCGAAAACTACGTCGCATATGATATTGTTGGCGGAATTGCTGTCAGCGTGGGTTTGTGGGATACACATGGAACTATAATTATGTTTTAATAGGCAGATAAGATTATATTGATCAACTTAAATTGTATCCATCTCGGTGATAAACATTCCACTTTTACAATGGTCAACATTGATCAGAACTCGTCTTTCGAATACTTGTTTAACATGTCTAAATGTCAGAGGTAATTGGCTGTTATTAATCTTCCATTGAATAGGTACTTCGCATCAAACGAAGAGTTGTAATGGGGTTGGTTTTTTGCCATATAAGTAATGAAAAAATGAATACCTCTATCGAGAGTTAGCTGCGCAATTGTTGTATAAGTGACACTTTGTCAATGCTTTCCTTTGGTGTCTATCAAGTAAGACATTATTTTAGTCAATATGATTGGTGTGATAGAAGTGGATGTTTAATTTATTAAACTGATAAATATCAACATAGTACAAGAAAAAGATCAATGCATTAATGGTAAAAATCGTCAGCCCAATAGTGTAACCCTATCCCCAGATAATAGGGAAAAAACACTTTTCAGTTATCTTGGTTTCCATGAACCATCTGGTTTGACTGATGGTTTGGCATTGTTATCTTTTTCAGTCGGAGGACCATGACCGTTTGAGGCCGTTATACTATCCCTGAACGGATGTATTCCTCGTTTGTTTTTCAATAGAAAACCGAGAATCTTTGGCAAACGTTAAATCCAAATGGGTTCCAGAACTGAGACATTATCGTCCTGATACACCAATCGTACTGGTTGCCTGTAAAATAGGTAAAATATTAACAAAATATTTAATTTTACATCACATCAGTGTTAAGTAATAAACTCTTATTTCTTTAACGTTTTTTATCAGCTTTAAAAAAAACTACTGCGCTACATTCTGATTATGAAATACGAGTAACATAATCTTGTGTATATGTTATCACTAATTTGTATGGATTTATATATTTTTTATCATCAAAACCCCCCAGAAATAAACATCACGGATCGCTGTCCCACTGCATGGTTATGTTTACCTTTATGATGCAGTGATCTCCCTTTAACTTCCGTTTGGATATAACTGTAGAGTAGTTGGGCCAGAACACATCCGTCGACCAGATAGTGCAATCAGTTAGAACGATATTTTACAAGCCTGAAGTTTATGGTTCGAATCGGGTCTACCCTTCGTTGTTTTTTTGTTGTTTTTTTTAACAGAATACTGTTGTTGAGTATATTTTGTTTATTGTATCTTTATTATTTCTTGTTAAAGTCCTGCAAGATATGGTTTTCTTTTCAGTAGTATAAATGTCCAATACTTAGTTACATTTCTGCAGTTTTTGGCAGTGGTAAGGGGATCCTTCAGAAAACGTTCAATATATGTCAGGTTCTCGTAATTACTTCCTTCAGATAGTGTGTTCATTAACTCAAGGTACTTGGTATATAAATATTATTTGAGTACGTTTTATCAATTTTATATATTTGCGAGAGAAAGGTCCAGCTAACCTAGTGTCATATGACGAAGGGTCAAAGGTTGCCGATGATTTAGGATTGCGTTACATAGAAACCAGTTCTCGACTATTACATGGAATTAAGGATGGATTTGATATAGTGGTAAGTTTGGTTCTGTCTGCAATATAATATCGAATACTGTTCCGACTATCTTTAAACCGCTTCTCACCACATAGGTTCTGACAAATGTTTCTAAATTTTGAAATTTATAAATTAAAGGGTTTCACTGCCTTTCCTGCTGTTCCAGAAGTACTCTTTAGAACAATTTAGATTTCCAACATTTTGGCCCCTATCATCAACCCTAGCAGTATATTTTAGTTTTGTCATACTGTATAATCGTTACCAGATTTTAAAGGTGCAACCACCTATAAGTGTTTCACGTTCATCTTTCTTGGTACATATCCCTTTGTTTTGAAAGAAACGAACGTTAAGAACAAGGAACTCGAATGTAGCTTACATCCACTACTGAATAAGAGGAATATGAATATGTAATACCATGGTGAAATTTGTAATTGCATGCTATGCACAAATTAGTTTAAAGGTGCGTACATGTATGGTATGGGTATAGTAACATTCGAAAGCCGTTACTTAGCGAATTGCAATGTAAAACGTTTTAGGTCCGAGAAGCGCTGCAATCCAAAAGAACGACAACTATTCAACCATGGTTTTCCTGTGGTAGTATAAAACAACTACCATCCCCTCCTGTGATGCCCCCTGCCGGTAAGATATCATCAGATTGATAATCTCTAATATCTCATAATTAATAATCACAACGTCAATTCAATACTATGATAAAACGACTTATTAAAAAATAAAATTAGCAACGTTTCTCTTGATTTGTTTTCTTAATAAAAATGAAAAATAATTGCTTTAATTTAACTTCAAATGTCACTAAAGCTTAGTATTATGGGTTTTTTATGATCACAATATAATAAATACGGCACTTTTTTTTAATTTATTTTCAATTTTTTCTAATTCAATTGTTTTGTTGATGACATCCAGCACAATATTTTTCATTTATTATTTATCAAACTTCGTTATAATGTTTCTCACAAGTGTTAATAGTTCATACTATACAGTTTCGTATGTACTCAAATGTGGGCTGATGTTGATTTCCTGTGATATTTCTCGATTTAGAAAGTGTACATGCTGACAATTTATAGTTCAGTGTCGAAGAAGTTCTGAAGATCTTATAAACATCATTATAAAAAAATAACAGAAATAATACAAAATAGTTTCCGACGAAGTATGAGCAAAAAAGGTTGAAGGTATGGCTATTTATGTATATAACAGCATAACCACGCCAAATTGTGTTGTATATAAACCATTGTTCAGTTTAATGAATAACCAAAACAGCGTGTTTATAATTCTAACAATTTCTGAAAGACAACGCGAGTTCATCATCTTAAACACTAAGGTTAATTTATAATATAAACATGTATGTTTGCATTATATATCTCATTTACATAACATAAACACGGTAAACATCTTTATCATAGTTTAGTCCTGTAACCCTTGAACTTTATGTAGGATGGGTTCTCAACAAATATACATGATATATCAAATTGTTAATATAAACATTAACAAAAAATTATTGAATAATAGTAAAAAAAAATATAAATTCGACTTATCTGCCTTACACTGTTTATTTGGATTGTTATGACAGCAGACATGTTATATTTGTGGAGAAGTTTGGAAAGGACTTAAATAGGCCTAGCTTGATGTCCAATCCAATTGACATATATTAAGTCAATAAAATATGTTGAAATTGAAATTATAGATCATCTAATATTGTCCATTGACAGAAAAAGCCCCGCGGATTGAAGTTGAAACATCTAGATTTGTTGAGGATTGGCTGGCGATGCACGAAAATCCTGTGCATGCCGATGTGGCATTCGTATTGAGTGGACAACACAACCTGGACGGACATAAAATAGTTCTGTGTTCAGCCTCCAAATATTTCAGACGAATCTCTGGAATGATGACATCAAATAAGGTAACAGGACATTCATAATTGATTTGTAAAAACTTCTCTAAATAACTTGGTAGACATCAAATGTAGTTTTTACCATTACATGTACTAGTCCAAGGTCTGTCCAACCTACCAGTTTCCGTTCAAGATTTTGAAAGACAGTTTCAACGCAAGCGTTCGTATGCTTTAGAGCGGTCCCAAATGTCATGCATGTAACAGTTAATTTTTACTTTAATCCTCAGCTTAAGACAACAGACTCTTCGAGTAACTTCACCGTGCAAGATCTCAACTCCGGGACTGTTCAGGGGATTATAGCGGTTTATAACAAGGGAAATAGTACAGATGGCATCGTGGGTCAAGGTCGTCGTCATACAATGGTGGAGCTTAGCGCTGATATCAAACCATTTTCACATTAAATGTATTTAAAAATCGATGACTAATTCAACCAAACAATACAAATGTTAATATATATTTTGTTTCCCAAGGAGTTCCTAAACTGACCAACCTATACGATGAGATTGATCAAGAAGAAATCGAAGACCTCATACGGGTATCCGATATCTTCAAATTACCGAAACTGGTAGAAATTTGCCAAAACTGCCTTACCGGGCAAGACTATCTCAATTCAAGTATAGGCACGTCCGAGAACGACGAGACAAATCAGAAGATGAAAGATCTCTATTTCAACAAACCTGAGACGGCTGACGTTGTGTTCAAAGTGGGAGGTAAGGTTAAGTGACATATTGCTTAGCTAGTATAAGGTATATGTACTACTAAATAGCATTGCATAGTTGCAATAAATACCGCAGACTTTTCTTCTTTCCAGAAGTGTCATAATAATGTTCACCTAACCCACAAAATCTATGATAAAATGAGCATTTTATTTTACAATAACTAACTGTCCCGTTGTGTGTGTTTATATAGAATTTTCAGATCGATAAGCTAGTTCGAGGATTTTCTGGATAGAGTTTTTCATAAACATTTTTTCTACATATTTTTTTTTCTTTATGAGCGGACTCGGTATATCCTGAAAAATATTTGCGGTTTTACCTGTCAACTCTTTTGCTGAAATAAGCTATTAATAGTTATATCAAATTTAATAGTGTCTTAGAACCTTGCTGACATGCATTTTTTTCCTGGATGTGATTGGGTGCATCAAGATATGAGATACGCTTTGTTGGTATTTACGAGAGGTGCGGGTGCGGGGGTGCGGGGGTGCGGGGTGGGTTCATGGTTTGTCAATCCAAAATATAAGTAACGATTTTCTTCCCTTTGTTGATTTTACTGTATGCAGTAAACAAAATTGCGTTGGTTGTTTTCGGAACGTCGTACAACTTAGAAACTAATCTAACATTATGGTATTGATACATTAAACTGATATGAAATTCATTTATTTCTTCATTTATTTCAGGAAAGATATACTGTCATAAATGTGTGCTAAGTGCAAGGTGTAAACTTATGGCGGCCATGTTTGGAAATCGCTTCGAAAAAGACGAGGCGATCACATCTGAGGTAAGTATGATATCAAAATGCAGATATGTATAGTAATAAAGTTAAAAGTATATTCATAGTTTGGAGATCTGTGGCTTCACGACTTCAACTGAAATATGCGTTGATTTTCCCTTTATATAACAGGTGGATATTCCGGCTACGTCGGCGGAATGTTTTCAGGCTCTGTTGGAATACCTATACAGTGACCACGCACCTACTGATGAGACTGATGGGTTCGAACTCATTTGTCTCGCGGACGAATACGGACAACATCGTTTGATGAATCTATGCGAACTGAATGTTACTAAAGAAATCAACAGGAGTGTGGCAACGAATATAGGGAAAGCAGAAATTGATGTCATCGGACATTTGCAAAAGGCACAGGTAAAGAAATGTACATGCTGTTTCTGTAAGGGATAAAGCATGCCGTCATGTATTACAAGACATCGACGTTTAATAACAATGATGGACTCCACAAATCTAAATCTGCAGTATAAAAAATACAGTGGTTTTGCTAAAACAAAAACTGGAAAATGAAAATCGCATACGAAATGAATATTCATTCTTCAACTAAAATCAGAAAGTACATTATTTTAAAAATTTCAACAAATCTATATATATATGTAAATTTTTTGAAATCAGATATTTTTAATTACAGAAATACAATGCAGAACAATTGTCCAGCTGGTGTTTTCATTTTATCTCCACAAACTACACTGCATTCCAAAATCGGGTGGAATTCTCGTGTTTAACGGAAGGAAACAAAATCTATATTGAGGAGAACCAGTGGCCTCCAATATCGTACCTCCGTGAAGTGGAGGAATATAAGAATAAATTGAAGCAAAAAAAGAGACAAATGTTCATTTAAATGTTCAATCATGTAAACGTGATTTATTTGTGAATGATGTGCGAATGATCATAATGTGTTAATCAATTTTACTTTAAATACCGAATTCATCAATATGGGATTAAGACAACGTGTCAAAACACAACTAGAGACATTTAAATGAAAAACGTTTTCGCATAGATATCTTTGTTGATGTAAGTATCATTGACGGTAGTTTTTTTCAATACAAACTCTTACTATATATATTACGTATATGCAAAGAAGTAATAACAAGAGTGCATACACATTCCTCTGTCGGCACTGTTGTTATTACTCCTTTGATAATATATCTATTTAACAATAATTACATTTATTATTCATGTATGTATACTTCATGGAGTCATCATTAGGTGAATAATAAATCGTGGTAAGTGTGTGGTATATTATGAACGAATTGTGATAAGTATGCAGACATATAGAAAGGATGAATGAACAAATAACTGGAAAGATATATGCTGTGGTAACTATGACCGAGAGATATATGAGGTGTGCAGGTGACAATTTCGTAGTGATCTAATCAACGTCTTGTTCAAGACAAAAAGGATTCTGTCAAATAAACTTGCAAACTGTGGAACTGCAAAATTGAGTTATAGAAAATCCTGGTATCAATTTTTTTTAAAGACAAATGCAATTTACCCTATTTAAATGAGAAATTGTATAATTGACCAATTAACTGATCTTCTTCAATAGACCCTGCATCAATTCAGTTTCTAGAGGAAATCAAAACTATTTTCCTTCAAATAGAAAACCGTTTATTAAATTCATTGTGCTGACTTTTTCAATCAAAAAGGTGTTAAATACACTGTACCTGTTATTCTATGTTTGTCAGTTTTAGACAAAAATGACTGATGAAACATGATTTAAGTTAAGTATGAGGAATACTGGTGTACAGAGTGTATCAATTATGAACTGAAATCATCATTTCGATAAAGATGGCGATTAAAGAAATATTACATTTGATTGATGCTGCTATATGAATAAATAGTAACATAAATGTTTGGAGTATGTATTTTACTTCAGCAAATAAAGTTGTTAGTCTTTAAACTTTACATTACATACAACCCCACTCACAGTATATTCATATTCACATTCATACCGTAAATAAGATATTGAGATTATATTTTTGCTAAAAGGACTATAGGCAACCTGAGGAAGGTATGCAATATATATTCCTTGAACATATTCCACTTCTGATAGCAGTTATAAAATTACTGATGACTATTGGAAGTGTTGTGCGGAACGAGATATTGAATAAGTATACTGTAACAGTCGAGGTAAATATTTATTATCTTTTATTACTAGACCAAAGATTTACGTTGTATGTGATTTATTTAGACTTCCAAAAAGTGTTCGATACAGTACCGCATGATGGGTTGATGAGCATGACTTTGACATACAGGGGAAATTGTCGCACTGGATATCGGCATTCCTTTCGAATATGAGACATAGAATAGTTGCAGAGGGAGCAAATTCCAGTTTGACAAATGTGAAGAGTGGGGTTCTATGAAGGAGCGTCCTTGGCCCGATTTATGTTTCTCATTTTCATTAGTGATCTCCCAAAATTGGCATGTTCAACTACAGAAAATGTTCGTGGACGATAGCAAGATTTATGAGGTGACCAAAACCAGAGGACACAAACAGAATCGGACACTTGGCAAATAACACCTAGCATAGACAAACATCAAACACTTCATTTTTAGATTTATCAATATATCACACAATGTATAAGAATGACAAGTGGAGGAAGGAGCTGGAAAATGTGGAAGTGGAAAAATACTGTGATAATTAATGCTTGAGCAAATTCATGTTTCTGTACATAGTTTTCTATCACATTTATTGAGAGTGCGTGGATTCCATCAATGTGCTAATCTGTTAAAATTCAATAACACTCTAAAATGTATGTCCACTAAAATAAGCACTCTAACAGTACACGGGAGTGTTTTAATCAGCCTTTAAAATACAGCGCCCATGTGTCCGAGGTAGTCAAAGAGGATAGTACAATGATAGAATCGATTGGAAGCATGTTCACCTATATCGACATGAGTATGTCTTCATCATTATATAAAGTCCGATATAGACCTCATTTAGAGTACGAGGTAATAGTTTGGAATATGTTGTGGTGAAGATGAATGTCCAGCTAACAGTAGATGCAGAGTGGAGGGCCACTAAGATAGTAATTAAAGTTAATGGAGAACAAGTCAGATACACTGAAAGACTGCTCTAGAATATCGAAAAAAGAAGAGTATTTTTTTTTAAAGTGTACATAATATCAACTGGAATAGATGAAACCAGAATAGCAGGGGGGAATGGTAGCTTTCTCAGACAATTAGAGAACAAGGGGACAAAGTAAAAATTTAGAACTACTCGTTTAAGTCTTGTTTACCTGTAGAAGACACTTCCTTACCAATAGCGCAATGGGAAAGGTACTTGAATAGCCTGTCTGGGAAATGTGCTAACGCGACATCTATAAAATGTGAAATATTTTCAAATCAAGGTTTAATTACCAATCGTGAATTCTTGACTTAAAATTCAACCAAGTATTATATTAACTGTATTGGCCTATATTTGAGTCACCATGGGTTATTAGAATAAACATCTTTGTAAATAGAGTTCTTAAAGTACAATGCGATAGTATAAAAGAATAATGCTACCTATTACGACTTCTACGACTGAAACTGAGGTAGAGGAAGCCCATTTATTCCATAAGATACGTTAACGACTTGAAAACGAGAACTCGAACTAAGGTGTTCAAAAGAGGTTATAGACTAAAGATAAAATACTGAGTGATAACGGCTGAGTTTCTCATATAACGTTAGCGCACCACAACAACCAATTACTAATCTCTACAGCGATTTTATTGGTTGACAAATATAGAAGAAGCTGACTGAACTATTTTTAGATTTTAATAACAAAATTACATGATGCTGCATCGTACAGGAAGTACCGATGTATACATTTGACGATAGACAACCAAGACGTCCATATTGTCGTATATCGTAAAGGTAGGTTTAAGTATGATTGTTATCTCTATTAATCATTCCGTAATTGATGTAAAAGCACATATAAATACGCACTATGACGTAGAGCATAGACTTGCACAAGCCCATTTATATCAAAGTGTTTGGAGTTTTATTATACGTGTGTTTCCTCCAAACCGAAAAACACTTTTATTTAAAATTTCTTTTTGATCGGATTCATCTATAGGTATATAGCATGTGTTTGATATGTAGTTCGCTAAATACAAACAATATTAAATTAAATTATATTAAATAATAAGTCTTTTCGAGAAGACTTTTCTACCATGCTTCGGATATTTTATTTCCTCGTGATAACGTAAATGTATTGGAATATATATGCATGTACATAGTGTATAGTCAGTGCTTAAGGGACTTGTTCAGTACACTATTATCGAACCGTGTCATAATCAAGAACCTTTTTTCTGAATACGAATGTGATTAGGTAATAAAAACTCTACTGTTACATTAACTAGCTACAAAGTGTTCGCGTTTCGTTTTAATTGAAGTGAATTTATTTTAATTACTGTAAATTCATTAAAGTTACCTTAGGACAATGTTACTACAACGTCATAATCAAACGTTGAACAGACGTTTGGAAACACCACAGGGATTGTACATGTATATGTAATAAATTACACAACCGTTGATGAAGATAAGCTGTGTGATAATTTTCGTTTATGTTTTATATTTTAAATAGCCTCTATATGCTAGACCTAAAGCTTGTCGCGGTGGGAGATCGCGCGGCAGGGAAGACTTGCCTGTTCATCGCCTACACAACCAATTCTTACCCTAAAGAATATATACCTACGGTGTTCGACAACTACTCAGTCAATGTCATCGTTGGTGGAGTACTAGTCAGTGTGTGTTTATGTGATGCATATGGAAATGTAAGCCGAATGCATTCGTTTTCATTTTATATTTCTCAAAACGGTAAACTGTCCACATGAACGTTAACAACAGGTGTTTGCATCTGCATGGTATTTATGAAAGGTCCTCTCTAGAGTATAGTCTAACCTGCCCTAGGGACGACAATTCCTCATTTTCATATCTCAACATACCAGATACTGGTGCCAGTGGTTATAAGGGAAGACTATTCCATATTTCCACATATTAACATACAAGATGCAAATGCCTAAGGTAATAACAGAAGACTATTTCATATCTTCACATAGTAACATACCAGATACTGATGCCTGTGGTTGTAAGGGAAGACTATTCCATATTTTCACATATAAATATACAAGATGCTAATACATGTGCGATAACCAACAATTATTTGTTTTTCAAATATCTATTTAATATTCTAATTATTATTATGAACTATTGACTTTTTTATTAGACTTTCAGTCGCTGGAGACGTATATCCCTATTCAATATCCTTAGTAGTTGCGTGCCGCTGTAGCCTGATTTGTTAGTATTGTTTATTCTGTATTCACCTATTTGGCTGATATTTGTGTGTTGTTATTTTTCAGACGGAGGACTATGACCGTTTGAGGCCATTATCCTATCCCTTCACAGACGTATTCCTCGTTTGTTTCTCAGTAGGAAACCGAGAGTCTTTGCCAAATGTAACAAGAAAATGGATACCAGAGCTAAGACATCACTGTCCTAAAACGCCAATCATATTGGTTGCCTGTCAGATAGGTATATATTCTAATCCAGCGTAGAGTCAAAAGTTTATACAAGAGTTGTTTTGACACGAAGTACTATGACGTGTTATATTCATCTATTATTTTGATATTACTTCTTCATCATTATCTATCTTTTATAAAAATAAATTATTTACTAGTGCGTAGGTATACACCAATGAGGATATGTCAGTAGCATATATTTGTGAAAACAACATGACTTATATGCATTGTTTGTTCATCAAGGGACCAGAAATATGCATGTGATACTTATAAGAAATATATTAGGTCCTCATTATTACTAGTGTTGTTAATTCCTTATGTAGGAAGTGCTTTAATTTACGGTGCTAATTTTGCAGATTTACGACATAAATGTCCTGATCTTGTGACGTACGAGGAAGGGTCAAAGTTCGCCAGTGATCTGGGATTGCCTTACATAGAAACCAGTGCGCTTACTCAACAGGGTGTAAAGGATGGTTTTGACACAGCAGTAAGATGGTTATATTTTGTTGTGTTTAGAAGATTACATTGTATCGCATTATTGATTCGCCTTATTACAAACTAATTTCGTCAATACATATCAACATTCTGACTGGTGGTTCTTTATATTTTTCACTTTGGATATTAAAAGGAATGAACGTTAACAAGTAAATTTAATTTCAATTGCAATGTTTAAAAGTATAAATCACTTCTGTATTCGCAATAAGAAAGTGATTTTAAGTACGCGTAGTAGTTTTAAAGCGTAATATGCTTTTCTAGTAATTACTGAGTAGTAAAGACCCATCTATGTCCTTTTTATGATGCGATTAATTTATTACTTATTAGACCATAACTGAAGCTGCTATTTGCAGTATATGGATATATAGCCTGAGCACTACTGCTACAGTTTGGTATTGCGTGAATACGCACTCAGAAAACAGTTCTTGAAAGAAGAAAAAAAATGAAAGTACTATTTCTATTTCTGCTTAAGGTACAGCAAGAGTATCAAGTTTTGGTTAAACCCAATTTTACATCGGTGTTAAGATATGAACGTTGACTATATTGAACATGAAGTTATGTATATGTTGCATTGCAAAAGGTTTTAAAAGTTGATGCCTTCTAAAAATAGTTTATTGACATTAAAACATGTCAATCCGTTTTGTCCCCAAACTGAATACTACGAAATGACACCTTATTCAAAGGTATGACTTTCGATAGGGGCCAACAAGGTTGGAAATCCATTTCGTCTAAACTACTATTAAAACAGAGGTTGTGGGTGTGGGTGGGTGGGTGATCGGGGCAGGGGCGATTGCGTAAGACCCCTTAACGTATGAAGTTCAAAATGTATAAGAGTACTGGTGGATTTCAAAACAAACATATATTAAAGTGCTTATAAACCGTGCCACTACTCAAAAGAGATGACTGTGACCGTGATGATTACGATAAATCTCAGGGACTAAATAATCCACAAACAGTATAACAAGTATGTGCAGCGCTGGTATTTAGGAATAACAGCATCAGCCCGACGCATCTGATGTCGTATACTGCACAAAAGTACAGTACATAGCATCATATATCTAACGAAGGTAGTATTTAATAAAGGGTGTACAATTACATATCACAATATTATGTTTTAGATCCGAGCAGCGTTGCTTTCAACACCGAAGAAAATAACAAAGTTCCAACCGTGGTGTTCCTGTAGCAATAGAAAAGAAATCCCAACTCCTCCCGCGATGCCCCCTGCCAGTAAGTTACACAATTAGATTAAAATCTTCAACCTAATCAAATGATTGCCCTCAGAAGACTTGCATTTCATGATATTCAACTTCAGATATCAACCAAATAAATATTTCGACACGGTTATAAACAATTGCCTCATAGACGTCTGTATTTCAATTTCCTAATTCTTAAACCCATCGTTTGAACTGGTTAATAAATCGTTTGAACTCATGAAGGAGTCTTTTGAATTAACGAATAAGTCTTTTGCTATCTGCCTGGTTATAGAACTAAACACTATCAAATACAATTGAGAAGGTACAATTAAAAGTCCCTTAGACTTCATCATCCTACTTCAGTGTAATACTTTTATTTACCAGAGGTTTGATAATAATGAGCATCTTACTATCCAACTCTATGAAAAGCAAGACCACATTTTTATCACGATTGTTAACTTTCATTTCCTTGGTAGTAACAAATTAGTCGCGATGATGAGGTGCTATATAGTAAAACAGCTCATTTAAAATGTTTGCCACCATAATCCTTTATGTTTATGCTATTTCTTTTCGACGCACACGTGCACTTTGATTTATGATGAAACTATGGTAAAAATAGTGTTTGTTATGATATTTTCACTGTTTACACGATGAACGGTGAAGCTAAATACTAAGAACCTATGGACTTAAAAATAGACCCTTCCTATACCACACATGAGTTTCTACCATGTACCGTAGGTTAAGTTAAAATCGTTTAGTGATCAAAACAAAACATCAGACTTCAAAATATCGTACAATTGAAATAATATTACAGAAACATCAGTGTATAGATATCTTTTTGAATGTTACTCTGAACTTTGAACAGTTCTTGAGTACAGTCTCACACACTCCAATTTCATTTTTTACTTGGATTCATACCGTGAACGATACAGATATTTGTTTTTTCTACGATTGTTCATGACTATTAGTATTAAAGTAGATAACCTATTAACTTAAGTTGTATTCTTATCCATTGACAGGTAAGGCCCCGTGGATTGAAGTTGAAACATCCAGATTTGCTGAGGATTGGATGGCGATGCACGAGAACCCTGTACATGCTGATGTGACATTCGTAATGAACGGGCAACACAACCTTGACGCGCATAAAATAGTTCTTTGTTCAGCCTCCAAATACTTCAGACAAATCTTTGGATTGATGACGCATAAGGTAACCTGAACTGTATCAAGGTTTCAGTGACGTAAACACATTGAGAAGCGCAAGTTTTTCGCATATCGACTATATATCTTTGATGGTTCAAGAATAGCTACAATCGCATGTTCGGAAGCCGTCTCATATGTTGCAGCTATACCAAGCCAACTTAATTTAAAACCCATTAAGGGGTTTGTGAAAGTATTAAACATCTTTTCACTGTTATAGAGATATTTCGAAACGAAAAACTATGATTCAAATAGAGATATGGTTATATTTAATAGTGATATCTTTATTCAAACAAAGATGTGATAAAATCAATCAGGATTTCCCATATAATATAGAAATAAATATATATTTCAAGGAAAAAGAGATATATCTTAAAGAGTAACCCATTTCCCTTAGAAATACAAATATCTTTAATTTAAATACATGTATTTTTAAATGAATTAAGAATATCTCGGGTAATTTGGTTAAGAGATCTTTGAATAAAATAGTGATACATTTAAAAAAAGGATAAATGTCTCTAAACGGAATGGATATTATTTTAAGTAATTTATCTCTATAACCGAGTTATGTGATTTATATTTCCGATGTTTTAGAGATCTCTGTAAATAAAAAATCAATAAGTCTTAAATTCATTAAAAGATAACTCTAGTATATCAGAGACATATTTTAATTAGTTCGAGATATCTCTAATTCAAATAGAGATATCCCTAAAAGAGTGAAGGATATTTCTTATTGCATTAAAGATATCTTTAAACGTTGTAAACATATCATATATCATTAGGATTATATGAGATATCTCTATTTATAAGATATCCCCAAAGTTAATGTTTAATAGGCTTGCCAAACACAACACTACATGTATTCATTCTAACTCCTCAGATGAAGAAGATAAAATCCTTGGATAACATAATCACGTATGAACTGACCGCCGGACTCGTTCCTGGAATTGTAGCAGTTTGTGACAAGGACAAGAGTTCAGAGGAACTCCTGGGTCAAGGTCGTCGCCATACATTAGTGGAGCTCAGCGCTGATATCAAACCAAAAACATTTGTCAGAATCCTGGAATTTCTTTACGCTGGTATGTATATTTGAATTCTTATTTAGAAACTACACAATGGGAGGCTAAAGATGCCATCTGTTCACAGGGACTGTTTTTAGAAGATAGATTATATATAATTTAGATTAAAAATGCATAGCATTTCTTCGGGAAGAAAAAATAGTAATCTCTGTAGAGACAGGATAGCTTAATACAAATGGACTCTCGTGCAGATTCGTATTTATGTTAATTACATACTTTGTTATCATTAAATTTGAAATTGGTATAGTATCACTTTGTTTAATTACTTATACTACAAACACTAAATTATATTCGTCATTGTTCAAAATGGAATATATCGAATATAACTTCTGTACAGTTAGTTATAATCTTAGTCCGAAATGGATTCAGTTACATTAAGATCAATCACTAAGCAAATATTGTAAAATATTAAATATTTCGCAACCAATTGCGAAAAAAACATTTTTTTTCAAACGTTCACTTGCGTTTTGAACCTACCGATTCATACAAGAATTAAAAGTGACAGTAACGGAATAAACTTTGTATTTCCAGGTTTACTTAGATTTACAAACGATAAAGACATGATTGAACAGGACGAACTCGCTGACGTCATGAGGATAGCCGACATGTTTGAAATACCGCGACTGAGAGATATTTGCCAAAATTATCTCTCTGAGCAGGAATTTCTCAATCCAAGTATAGCAACTTGCGTGAATGAAGAAACAAAAGAGACGATGAAAGAGATTTACTTCAATAAACCTGAGATGGCTGACGTCACTTTCAAGGTGGAAGGTAAGACGTGTTGACTGTAACCATACGCACAAAGTAGATGAGAAAGAATATGATAACATACCTGAGCGTCGATTCACCAACAAGCGATCGTAACTACTTTACTAGTTACTTGCTATCTGGGTGGTTATAGAACAATACACTATCAAATACAATTGAGAAGGTACAATTAGAAGTCCCTTAGACTTCATCAGCCTACTTCAGTGTACTAATTTTATTTACCAGAGGTTTGATAATAATGAGCATCTTACTATCAAACTCTATGAAAAGCGAGACCACATTTTTATCACGATTGTTAAGTTTCATTTCCTTGGAGGTAACACATTTGTCGTTCTTGCGTGTGGTGTTATCACCGTTATACATGCTATGCCAGACTTGATCGATCCACAGTATTTTCTATCTGCCATGTTTCACTTACGTAGAAGAAACCATACGATCGGCGTCTGAACCTTATTGTAACTAGTTCACATAAGTTCAGTGTCTTTGATATTTTGAACATATAAAGTAAATGTCTACATACTTTCCCGAGTTTCACGTCGTGTGTATTCCGACTTTGCGTATTGCAGAGTTATCTTCTCTTGTGAGCAGGTATTGATTGTTACGTCATTGGTTTGTGTGAGAAAATTACGTCGTTTTCTCAAAAATTGATGACGTTACTCTCACAAACAAACGACGTTACAATCAATACCTGCTCACAAGTGCAGATAACTCTGCAATACGAAAAGATGGAATAGAATGGGGGATGTCATTACGTCGTTGCCCTTGTTTGCACAAGTTTTAAAATAATTCTGAATCTGATAAAATACTATTTCACGTAAATGTTGAATGTACTGGTACTCGAAAGAATCGCGTTTATTTTCCTGACAATCGTTAGTTTGTTCCGATCAAATAAATGCAAAGGAAATTAATCTATTTCAGGAAGAACGATATATGCTCATAAAAGTGTGCTGTGTACAAGATGCAGAACTATGGCGGCTATGTTTGGAGACCGCTTCGTGGAGGGCCAAGCGACTATATCTGAGGTAGGTTTGACATCAGAAATATTAAAGTCAGATAGCTAAAAAGTAATTATATTCTAGGAATTGTAACGTCACACGTGGCTATATGTGCACGTTATGTATAAAAACGGCTTGAAGTGAAGAATGTTTTTCTTTCCTTTACCTGACAGGTGAATATTCCAGATACTTCGGCAGAATGTTTCCTGGCTCTTTTGGAATACCTGTACACCGACCATGCGCCTGCTGAAGATATTGAAGCGACGGAACTACTTGTTCTTGCTGATAGATACGGAGTGAAACGTCTCGTGGATCTGTGTGAACTATACATTGCCAAGGAAGTCGACAGGAGTGTGACAACAAATATAGAGAAAGCAGAAATTGACGTCATTGGGATTCTACACACGTCACAGGTAAAGAATGTACACATAGACGTCGGTGGCATAATACACAGAATGATGAGTTTAACGTTAGAAACATATGTCTGTGAACGTTTCCTAACAAATCTTCTGTCTTATGTCGTGAAAAAAATATGAATTCTCCCGACAAACGTATATCAGTATATGTCGACGCTGAAGAATCATGTTTTTTTCTTTTCTTTTTTGTATATTAGTACAAGTGATTAAATCAAAATTGAACAATTTAAATGGCATGTGAATTTATATATTATATTTAAAATGTCTTATTAAAATAGCTTACCTTGAAATTGATTGGTAATGTTTTGTTAAGAATCTCATAGAGTTGTTTGTTTGATGTTACAGAAATACAATGCAAAACAATTGTCCAGATGGTGTCTTCATTTCATCTCCACAAACTACATGTCCTTCCAGCACCGGCTGGAATTCTCCTCATTAAAGGGAGATAACAAACCGTATATTGAAGAGAATCGGTGGCCTCCAACAGCATACCTCCGTGAAGTGGAAACGTACGAGAAACGCCTAAAAGATGTTGAATGTTCGTTCAAATGTTCAATTATATAGACATGTAATTTGCATTTGATGCATGAAAGATTGGTGTGGAACGATAAACTTTCACTTGAATGACACACTAGATTATTGATCTAGGACTAAAACAAAACAAGAGAATACCGAAGCGGCAACAAACCCATAATTCGAATCAAAAGATAAGCTTTTGGGCCTGATGCTGAGGAAGCTATTTGTGCTATACTTGTGAATAATTCTGGTTCATTTAACTGCGACATCTGGCACATACTGGATTGAATTATAGATATAATTGAATATACTTATGTAAGTTTATATTTCTACATTCTTTCTTTCTTAACATTATTATTTTTTTGTATAATTTGGTAAGTATGCATTCGCTATGCTACCCTTTTTATGTTAATTAATGCATTGTAGGTCTGACAAGTTGGAAGACCAGAATTTGGATTTAATATAATAACGGATAAAGTGTATACACTCTTCTCGTGCATATATTGAATTTTTCGATATTTGGTCAGATGATATCCCGATGCAGGCATTACTTATATTCTATGTGAAGATATTTCAAAATGAGTAGCTTCTATATATCAGAGGCCAAAGATTTTACCTTACCATGTAATTTACATAGTATGTAACACTCCCTGTCAAATTGTGTGGAACAGCTGAAAAGCGTTCTGTTTTAGCCGCTTACTGTTGAAAACTGTATTGTTGTTGTTGTTGCTTATATGCATTTGTAACTGTATCATATCATACATTCTGCTATCGATTCTTTTTGGACCTACGTCTGTTCAATTGAAAAAAAAATCTGATTTTTCTAGATCTAAAAAAGGAACTAAAGTATTCTGTTGTGTTTTATTTCTGCATGTGATCGTTAGGTTAACCGAATTGTTTAAAAGTTTAACATTTTTAAGAATGTTCTAGGAGTTCGGACAGGTAAAAGTTTGAATAGTTGATAAAGAGTAGTTGAATACATAATTAAAAAGGTTGCCATAACAAATCTGGATCCAATCGATTAGCTCACGGTAATATCAAGTTCGGTCATGAGAAAATCGAAGTCAGTAGAGAAGAAACCTCCGAATTGCCGAGATTGGTGACTCATTAATGAAACTGCAAATACCTCAACTCACGTTTCGATTGTTTAATTTCAAACTACATATTAATATAGTATAAAATCTGCATAATTGTTCGTTTTGTGTCTTCTGTTGAACTTTTTCTAGCATCTAGCAGTGTCCATCCAGTGTAATAATTCAAGTTCAACATCCATTAAAAGATCACTGAAACCGGAAAGAAATTAAACAGGACCTAAATCTTCCGAGTCAAAACTCTAGAAGTAGAGCAGTAAATTAATTATTTCTGTGACGAGAGAAAGGAAGACTTTCCTCAAACCGTTTCACTTCCTTATAAGGACAACAGAACCCGTGATAATTAAACTCCAAATAGTATTACAGTGGAACACAAAGGCCAAACACAATGGACTGATACGATGGCCTGGCCTACTGATGTCACCTTTAATCCTGTTTCTTTACCAATAAATATACTTTCAAGCAAATATCTAAAGGATTCTGGATAATATCCTTCCCTTTTAAATATGTTGCTATGGATTGAGATGAATGATAAATTGCTATCGAAGCACTAACAGACTTGATGTCGTTCAGCATTAATATGAGTTTGAATAAGTCAGCCTCTTCTTTTTGACATCTGTTTCCGAATCCTTGGTGCTGATTTGAAGGTAACAACACTGGCTACTCCGCTACTTTCAGTGATAACTCTTTTCTATCTACGAAGTGGTCAAATTATTTCTTTTTTATATATATATATGTAGTAGGACGAGAAATACTGATAAGGATAGTGCCGCTCGAACCCGCGACCCTTGGCTTTCCTATTTTTGCTTTTATTTTCTTCCATTTTTAAAGGACCCCATTGGAAATAAGCCACTCTGTGGCTTTTATGGGTTATCCTAGGTAAATGCACACACCACTCCTATTGTGCGACTTATTTATATCTAACTTCATGTACTAAAATATAGTCTGTCTCATTTTATAGTAATATCTGCCCTTTTTTACAGTGTATCAGACTTTTTTTTTAGATTTTTATACTCTATATATGTCAAGGATTTAATTAAGAAACCTTTTATTATGATAGACTATTATTATTCTCAGTCTTAATACAAAATATTATTTTTATCTACCAGCTGCATTGTGATATTAATTGTATGTTTTATTCTAAATTGTGATTTTTTGTAATAATATGCCTATTTTACCAGCTAAACGGAAATTCCCTACAACTGACGTTTGTAAGGCAACCTAATCAATGCACATCTTTTACACTATTCACCCCTTTTTTCAAACACCAACCCAGGTTCTTTGACTCCCCGCCACGGGTTTTCCTACCTTGAACGGGAAGGGGCAACGGAACTAATTTGTAGTAGGACGAGAAATAGTGATACAGATAGTGCCGTCGCTGGGGCTTCGAACCCACGACCCTTGGCTCTCCTGCCCGATGCTCTACCGCTGACCTAAAGGGAAATTCCCTACACATATATACTCGACACTGAAGTTTGTATCACGGAAATTCTCAAATTCGACTAACCACTCTGGTGGAAAGTTATCAGGCTGCAGCAACGAGCTGAGAGCCAGAGAGAAGTGAAACATTACGCATATTGCTTGTAGAGATGAACTTTTTGGGTTGAACAATGTATGACAAACCAATTCCAATACATCAGATGCACAGTACCACTAGAGCGGAAACGAATGACCAGTCATGTGAGCCCAAGACAGAGAGAAAGAAATGAACGAATCGACGATACTTTGACCGCCCGAAGCTGATGTGGCAACTTCTGATGCGATTTCTACACATATATAGAATATATAGTTGTAAAGGAGATATGGTTCAGGCGGTTATTCAATTCGATTATTCAATTAAAAATACTTTTAACGAGTTAAATGTTTTATTAAATGAGTTAAAATAATACGTATTAATCGCTTTCAAATAGATAATAGAAGTCATACAAAACATGTGTATAGTACTCATTTTAAAAATATGCACATCAATGTCCCGCTTAACTATCAGTGCTGGTTAAAATGGGGACCTGTTGTTTTTGTTATACTCCGGCTTCCAAGGAAGTTGGGATAAAGAATATTCGCTTCGTCAAAGTTCTTCCGTGTTTATGGTGTTTCCTGTAGCCTGGGTATCAAACTTTTTACATGTGTATATCATAGGAAAGCTGCATGTCATGTTCTTTTTTGTCTGTCTTGGACTCGCATGACTGTCCATTTCATGCTATGAATTATGATCGGCCAAAACAGAGACGTATACATTGTATGTAGTATTTGAACAGCAGCACTGTATGTGAGCCAATTGCAATATCGCATTACGTTTTGTTAAACTTTAAAATTAAAATTGATTGTCAGTTGTACCTACGTAGGAAATCGTAAATATATTTTCTTTATCGAAAGACATGTGAAAGCTAGCGGAACATTTTCATCTCATAATATATTGATTTTTGTTTTTTCCGTCGATAATATTCATTTTCTGCTTCTTTTCCCAAAATCAAGACCAAGACCAAAAATCCACTTGGTCTTGACACTCGTTAAGACATGTATTAACCGTGATATTGGCTCACAGGTCAAAGGCAAAAATTATTATCATGAAGGAATTTTTTTCACTGGAGATATTAAAATNACTTTTGTAATAGGAGTTGCCTCCCTTCGCACCATGGTTATTGCAGATTTTAATAACCTATTTTGACGTTGCATTTTCCAAATACGCGATGTATCTAATTCAATATTAATGGCGTGCAACACTGGTAGATTTTCAATCCGTATGCCTCAAAAGGGAGTCCTCTGTATGCCTCAAAAGGGTGTCGTTCAAAACTGCAGGAAACTCTCAAATCAGTCAAGCTAGCAGACGGGAAAACCCCTGCAATATCACATGACTTATCACGTGACGACATAAGAGAAGGTAAAATGGCAGCTAAAGTGTTCGTTGATGATAGCAGTGGGTGGGATGTGTCGGATATTAATAGCCTTACAGCTGTAAGCACGAACGAGCGATACACTATTGGTCTGCAAAGTGAACGTAGTCTTAGGCCTAACATAAACGTAACACATGAAACGACTGAACACTCTGAGAATAGCAGTTCTCTTGGATGGAGTGGTAATGTAAACAACCTGGAGTTAGAAATTGGCCCATTTGTAAGTGCTGTTACAAGCGAGCAGATTGACTCTGGTATCAGCGCGGATCCTTACAGGGGAGAAGAACAACATATTGACACAAGTTTATTAGACAGTGAAAATAACTTCTGGCCGTTTGGGGCTGACAACTATGCACATAATGTTAACGTGTCAAATAATGACCATGTACAGACGACTCCAAGACTTCAGTTACTCCCCGAGGTAGCTTCTCAGGAAAGTCCCCACAGATCGATGTCTGAGGACTCATTACTAGCTATTTTAGAAAAGTTTGATGCCACCGATATAAACGAGCACGATCAGGATATCAACATGATTCCAGAAAACGAAAAAACCCAAAGTAAAAAAGTATTGTCCAACTTTAAGGGTGCACTTGGAACCTCAAATAACATACCAAATGGACATCTGACATCGGAGGACTTAAGTAACAACCACTGTGTTGACATTGTATCTAGTTCATGTATTAATGGAAGATCTGATGAATCACATCCCGAAACACATGGGAGGTACAGCAACCACAGAACGTTACGATCATTTAGCAGTGACGATGATCTGGAGGCAGACTTGGGACTGTCCCATGTCACAAATGGAACAAGGTCTAATCCTGAAATGTCTGGTTGGCACTGCCATACTCAGGTGAAACCTGAGCATGATAAAGTTGCGAGGAATCAACTGATCGCTGTGTGTGTTCTGTGTGCATTGTTTATGATCGGAGAAGCAGTAGGTATGTAATATACAATACACATTTGTGATTTTTTTTCTACTAGCTGTCTTTGAATCGGCACATTAAGATAATTACCTAATTTCAATTTTCAGCAGCTGGAAACTTGTTCAAATGGGTATCAGCATTCTTATAGAGGGTACAATCTGGCATCAGAACAGCCTCAAAAGCAGATTTTATGGCATATATAATAAAGTTTCTGTAGAAATAGCGACCGGAGCATCAATTGATTGATGTCATGTTGGTAAATCTGAGGACACCTTGCATTGACTGTTTCACTGTGTAACTTCACGTAATTTGAGTGCCCTTGGATGTTAATAGGATGTATAAAATGAAACCAAACTAATAAAGTAATATAAGTACGGTTATACCTTGATTGGTAGACTGTCAAATTGGCGTTAAGTATTTGTGGAAAATGTGGTTATTTGCTTCCCATTCTCCAAGTTTAGAGAGAGCACACCTGTTGATAACAAGATACCCATAGCAAGTCCTTAATCAATATGAATGAGCTGTAAATATATATATATCTTTGTAAAATTGTTATCTTTGATTTGGTCAGTGAAGTTAGTTGGGGTGTCCATTATGATCAGCAGCAAGTAGCCTAGCTACAGATGTTCCCCATTTGCTATATATAGATCAGAACATTTATAAGCAGGTGCACATGTGCACCTACTATTTGTGACGTCATACATATGGAAACCATTACAGTTTTAAGGAAACTTACGCTTTTCTCAAAAGTCATTGAAGATCAAATTTTATACACATATCAAGCAGTCTAAAAAGATCATCAGGTGTACATACATATATGTAATAGTACACTGCAGACTTCAAACTTCCATTTCTGGGAAATCTATAATTTATGAACACCAATTTTTCATGCATAAATATAGGCTTTCAATGTTAAAAAATGCAATTCCATAATAATAATCATTATATAATTTAGCTAGATTATAATAAGACAACCTTTTTAAGAGCAATTTCATTGCTTTTTATGCAGTTTGCTCCAATAAGACATATCAACCAGCTTTCTTGACTCAAGAAAGGTGTGACATTGAGTTGTATGTATATGTTTTCAACGGGATTTAAATGACCGGTCTAATAGAGATCTGTTTTGACTCTCCAAATTTAGGTAAAATTCTAATTCACTCATGAAATTGCTTTAATTGTCAAGGATAAACTGAAAGCCATGTAATTAAGTGATCAAATAAAGAAGACAAACCTGTATGTTTACCATTGTATGCCAAAACTCCAGAAAGGTGACAATTGTACATATATATAAGCTGGGATTGTTGCAGATTTTTTGCAGCTGAAATTCAAGTGCATTATAAATAGCCCATTGTTTAGTTGTAACTGTGAGAGATCAATATTAAAGGTATATTTAGAAACTTTATGACACATGTATTATTGACATGAGCAATGTACCTTACATTATGTATATATAACCATTATAGGTACAGTATTTAATGTACAGAAAATGTCTTAACAATCTATATATATCTGAATCTCTAAAACTGTTTCGACATTCATGATTTAGCCAGCTGTCTTCAGAAATTGTGACTAGATGGGTGGAGAACCTGATAATCCTGTGTCTATATGTTCTGACACAAGATCTGGTATTTAATTGATATAATTAATTAAGTGAGGTGTCAGTAGACACTTACCAATTGTCTTCCATGCATGACCTTGTTAAAAATCTGCAACCCCAAACAAGATCTTTTATATACATATATATATATATTGGTGTACATGTCATTTCCGACAATTGGCTGAAGTTTATAACCCATACAATTTATGTACTGTAATGCATGAAAAATGTGTATAAAGGCTATCAGGGATGTATATATATATTCAATCATTTAATTTCTTGAGCTAGTATAATTTGGAGCATAGAATAGATAATTGTGTCAAATTCCTACAACACTTTTATTTGACAGATACCAGGTACGTATACATGTGTGGACCTGATAATATGATCACAAGTCTTTTGTGCATTTTCTGAAATTTTCATCTAGATAATTAGCAGAAAATAAAGGGATATTTTATGGGATGGTTCGATTTCACGAAGAATATTATTTCCTCAAACATTATATTGATGTCATATATATATGACTAAGATTGGATGAGCTTATATAATTATCAAGAGTCATGTTCAGGAAATATAGGGTGGTATTAAAAGAAGCCTGGGTCTGGCCATAAGATAGGCCCTTGATTATATGTTGTCAACTGAATGTACAGGAAATACCAGCTTATTGATTTTCAGATCAATTTCAGTTTCATAATTAAAAGATCTGAGTAGTTTTATGTAATTAACTTGTCCAATTTCTTTGTGATGAATTACATCAAATGCCGCAGTCCAACTGAATTATTTGTCTGTGATCATATGGTGTTCAGAAAATTAATTAGGTGTAAAATGTAGTACATTGTATAACAGACAGATATACTGTGTTGATTGATTATATTATATTTTGTGCAAAGACTAATTAATTTCTTGTACACCAATTGCTCAGTACTTATACGCGAGTACTTAAAATAAACTTGTGTTTTACTTTAGATGCATATGAAACTGTCGTGTAGTTCTTAGAAATGAGGATCAATGCATATGGTTGGGGGCCATTTACATGTTTATATATACCGGTATATACTATAGCCGGCAAACTTTACACAACCTAAAGTATGAATTCCCCCAACACTATGTATACAATTTTATTTACCTTGCCTGGCATGGGTATACCTATTGTACTGTATTAATATTGTCGACCGGTATTTGTGTTATATATTGTGTTATTGTAATGAACGCGTACGTATGCCTACATTGATTTTGTGATGTTATGATAAATATGATATATTACCTTGGGGACAATAGATGTACAATGTACATAACATGTCTACATTTAGTTAAAGAATAGTTCATATTTATGATGGTGAAATGAATTTGATTTAAGCTTGCAGGCAATCATTTACAAGTTAAAAGGATTTTAGTTCTACATGTATATATATATCGTGTGAATGACTTTTAAAATTCATGATTGATGCATGTATAACCTCAGTGATGTTTACAAATTGCATTTAGGTGCGATGACTTTCTTGGTCCACGTGTACTGTACAAACATGTACAGATTTAGTTTTAGATAAGGAACATTTATTTCATATACCGGGTATATATACTTTCAGTAGAAAGTTTTTGGCGGCAGGCCAATCCATAATGAAAAAAAAGGGTTTTCTAATTTCCGAATAGCTAGGCTACATGTAGATACATGTACATCATATTAGCTGGCTACTCGGTATCCAATTTAAATATTTATATTGATGGATAAATTCAATATTTAGATACATTCTGTTCAATCTGTGACTTGTTCTGATATTTCAATAATGAAGATATACATGTTTGTGGAAATACATTTGTACACTATATATCTTTTTACGTCCATTTTATAATAAAGATGAGCTGGATTTCAACAGGATATCAACTTGCAGCAGGTTAAGTTTTATTAAACACTGCTAAATAAATAATGTGCATATACCCTTCACTTGCTAAATTGCTGCTACAAGTGTAAATATACTAGATATTTAAGGATTAACTTGAATATATTTTTATGTTATGGAGCTATAACACAAAAAAACGGAGTGTACTCTAAATAAACCGCAAAGCGGTTTATAATGAGAGTACACTCCAGTTTTTTGTGTTATAGCTCATTAACATAAAAAATATATTCAAGTTAATCCTTATAATTTAATCTACTGTGCATGATCCCTGTGAAAATCAACTTTATAGATGGACTCTTTTTCTCTTAGAAATTATTACGCCGCTGTATCAGCCAATCAAAAGCGACGTTACAAACGGCGATGTCATTTTTTATGTTATGGGCTAATAACATAATTTTTTAGGCCAATGAAAAGGTTTGTTACAAGCGAGATGAAATTATATGTAATTAAATTGTTGGTTACGTTACTTTGTCCGTCCAATTAAATGACCATAGCTGTTGATAGGACGTTAAACAATACTAAACTTAACTTTATAAGGATGTATACCCACAGTAGGATTAAAGTAGGTTTTCAGCTGCTATATTCATTCATTGTATCAAAAATTTAAAAACTATTCAAATTCAGGCCTACATTAATATTGGAAATGAGTATTGCTTACATTTATACTGAAATATTTTTGTGAACATAATTATTATCCATTTCCTGCCATTTAAACTGCTGAAAATGTGCACTAATATAGCACAGCAATTGCAAGCATTTATATACATTCAGTATTACAGGATTTATACAGCTGGGTTTCAGCAGCTGCAGAAATCATGCTGTATCGTAAACCAAAACAGTAGGAATAAATTAAAAGTGACCACTTAATCATTGCTTTTAATTAATGTACATACATCTTTTAGAAATAAGTAGGTTATTATAACATACATGTAGGTATCTTCAGTGAGAAAATGTATCAGCACTGCTTCACAGCACAGGCATTTGTTTCTGTCAATAAAAATAGTCCTCACAAAAAAGCACACCCTATATAGCTACTCAAAAAATATTTTATTATTAGGATGTGATTTTTTTTCTTGGGACTTTTTTTTGTGAGGACTATTTTTATTGACAGTTCTAACAAATGCCTGTGCTTCACAGCACTCGGGCGGCTGAGTCAGTCTGCTATATTTTGACTTTGGTAGTGATTTACATAATATTGTATACAAATATAGCTACTTACGGACACTCTCTCTACCAAAACATGGTCAGGTGTACATGTTAGAGGACACAGAAATATTTTTAAACATGGCCCCCAAAGTTATATAATCAACTTACAAGTTTGGTGAATGGTATCACATAATACGTACATTGTATATACACTACATAAGGAAATAGGTCAACAGATATGACTATTTGAAGGCTTAAGGTAGCTATAGTCTGCTTTTCTATTTCCTATACTAGATTAATTTTAAATGGCATGAGTCATCTATATGTATGAGACGTTTCATTTCAAGGTTGGTCTTTTGTATGGAACATAATGC